GGTCCCCAAAATATGTGACCATTGCATGTATTGTGTTGCTGTGTGTGGTTTCAGAGAAAATTGATTTCTGGTTTCTTGTGCAGCTTCAAAACAGACCTGGGAATTAAAAGCCGCTCACTGTAACATTTCGCAGAGGTTAGGAACCTCGGGGACAGCTGTTGACTTTCCAGATTACCTTTTCATGTTGAGGCTGCAAGGTGCGCAGTGATGTAGCTGAAGTTCAGTCGGTCGTGAGAAAGATCTTTTGATTTTGTCAGCAGCAGGGATTCCAAACCCCCACGCTGCTGTTCACACAGAGAAGGGTTTCATTCCTCTCCCAGACATTCTAGTTGCAGGAAGCGATCGAGGCTCCTGCTGCCGAGTCCTTCTCTATCGGGCGCTGGTAAGGACTTAAGGACGAGCGGTGATAGGAGACGGCACGTCTACGTGTCCCGGTCATACAGTCGTTGACAGAGCAGAACATGCTGACCACTCACTGGCGTAGCTCACTGATGTTCTCGGTGATTATTAAGTCAGGTGCATAACCTGACCGCATGTTACAATTATAGATCATGCAGGCGTCGTTATGCCTGCTTATGAGATTCCACATGCCTAATAACTGACATTTCTCAGTGCGTTGTCTTAAATGATGTCCAAACAGTTCAACAAAAATGTTAATTTCTGCTTCATTCCTAAACAACAACTGCAAACATCAAAAACATCAAATTAAGCCATAGCAAATGTATTCTTCAGATGGCCTACTAATATTGCAGTTTTTGTGTCATTTTATAATATTTTGGCACCATGTATCCCCATTCTTGGCATTTATGTTTAATTTATTTTCTCTTCCACTGCTGTCTTTACCAGTTTGTAGACAAATAGTGGTTTTAAGTTGGAACCTCACACCTTTCATGAATTCAGCACTGAATTAAAATAGATATACTCTTCAGAATAACAAATATTGTATTATCATTAGGGAAATGTATTGTTACAAGTATTCATTTTATATCGTAATTCGGTGGAAAGTACAACTTTCTCAGCTACACTGAGTCACATCGTACAATTCTGTTTTCAGTGAGGGCAGAAGTTCTCTACCATCTGTGAATGACCATGTTTTGCTTTTTTCTGTTAGAGGAGAATGTAATTATTACTGGTCAAGGGCTGTTATTAAAAGCTGCTGAAAATTGAGAAGGGAATGGAAACTCTGAAGGGGAAATCGTAGACATGAATGTTTTGGTCACATCGCCTGCTTATCACAGGTAGTGGAAAGTTCCACCCAGAATTTCAGACCTCACTCACAGTCCACCAGTGTCTTGTCATCCATCCTCGCAGAGGCCTTGCAGGTTGCAGAGACCATGTTTTGCATTCATCATGGAAAGTCTTCACACCAAATCCCAGCAGTCGGTTTTTCAGCCTGTAAACTGATCACAGGGGCCGATCTGGGCCAACTGGGGGGACGACAAATAAGCAGAGCCCTGTATCCTGTAGGCACCTCTGTCTTTAAGTAAAATTCACCAGAGATTTTACTTTCTAAGGTGAGTGGGTGTTGAATATGGTCTTGGAAAAATATCCATTTCCCAAATTCTAGCGTCACATGCATAAATGCACACACATGATGCAAATAAAAGTGATATATGAGATGTCTGCATGGAAAAATCACAAACAAGAGGGGGTCATTCGGGTCATCTTGCCCATTTGTTAGTTCATAGAGAATTGTTCTAAGGATCTCATTCACCCGGATTATGGTCTTCAACCACAAGGCTGGGTACTTGTTCCATACTCCCACAACTCTCAGGGTAAAGAAGTGCCCCCTGTTCTCATTTTTAAATGTACTTCTACTGAATTTCTACTTCTGTCCTCCGATTCATATTTCAATATTTATTCTGAAGTCGTCCATTGGAACTAAATCCAATATAGTGTATACTATTATATGGTGAGCAACTCTGTATAATCAATTTTTTACTTTTTCTGCACTTCTCACTGACTGTATTGTATGTATTGTATTGTTGTCTTATTGTATCATTTCGTTACACTTTGCTGTGTTGACTGTGCTAAGCTGCTGTTGCACTGCAATTTCACTACCTGGATCAATAAAGTATCTATATTTTTTACATTGATAACACCAGATATCTGTGACACAGATACTGTTCATATGATGGAACACAATGTTGTGGATTGCTGTTCTGTTGTAGGTTTTCATTGAAAAAAGTACAAACATTTACCAGGTTACAAACAAGAGGAGGCCTTTCAGCCCGTCTAGATTGTTTGGTAGTTAGTAGGTGATGTAAAGAGAATGCTTGCTTGACCTGTGTGAGAATGGAAGTCAAGATCTTTCCATTATGAGACGATCATGTTACCTACTACACCAATAAGACTAGACTCATATGTCATCATGTACACTAGTCTACTGGAGAGAGAAAGGGTTTAGAAAGAAAACTGATCTCTTCAAGCGGTACCAGGCACATAAAGATAATTCCCAAACAGATGGAAGATCTCTTCTAGAAGGACAGAGTCAAAATTCTGCCAATAAGATGACAGCCTAACTTTAAATCTTATTTCAAAAGTGGCCATGCAGATACATACAGTAGGTAAGGTGTAACAAAAGTCTGCAGTTGGTCAAAATATGAATGAAATGCTTGCTTGATGAATGGAAAATGTATTAAGTAATCAGACTTTTGGATGTAACAGCCACATTTCCCACTCGATCCAAGTTTGATACTTTATTTGGGTTCATTTCCAAGTCTGCTGAAGTTGGCGAAGAATTAAAATAGCCTGTAAAACAGAGCTTCAGCCTACAGTAAAACTGGCAGTTAACTGGCAGCTTGAACTTGTTGATGCCATGAGCATGACAATTCAAGTCTTGAAATTACCTTTTAATATTTCTGAATTAGATGATGTTCTTTGAAAAAATTTCAGAATATTGCTGGAAGTGGGTGCTATTCTGCGAGAGCGCTGCTTCTGCAGCACAGGTGGCGCGTGTGGTCTGCACATTTGCATGGCTCTTAAATCGCCCGTCAAACAGAAGCGTGTACTATAAACAGTGAAAACCACTGAACAAGGGTCCGCAGTAATGCCAAGTATGGGGCCTGGCAGACTCTGCATATGCAGAGTGCCTGGCAGAGAGGGAAGTGCTCAGAATAGCTCAGCGTTCTTTTTTTGTTCCTCTTATGCAAAGTGCATAACAGAGGAAACAATAAACCGTTTATGGGGAAATGTCCTTCCTAAATGTGCTTTGATCACCTTATTCCACACCGACAGCACCAGTAACTGAACCGAAAAGTCTTCAGGTTGGAAAATAAAGCTGGTGAGACACTGAGACCTTAAACTTTGATCTTACATAAGTACTAAAGACAAGATTTGATAGAAAACCAGTGACAAAGATGTTATTACAAGACCTTTAGCTTCAGATAACTTCGGTCACAATTGTGCAAGCACCTACAACACAATACCAGGCCTCCTTATAAAAGTTAGTAAAGAAGCAAATGTTGGTTTGTTTTTTAAAACCGTTCACTTGTCTTTGATAATAAACTAATAATGCATGCCAAACATGAAAAAAATGGACACTGGGAATGAACTTTGAGGAACCTGGTTTTGAGCAAGTCACTAACAATGGAGCCAGCAAAAACGGTTCCTGTGAAAACCACTCTGACCTGAGCTGAACTCAGAGGGAATGTACAGATAAAGCCACCTGGCATTGCACAACACAGCCCCTGAGATGAAGCACCATAGACCTCAACCTGGGGCAGAAGAGATGCAGCATGTCAGATGACTTCCTCTCATTCTCATCACCAGCTACAGGTGATGGAACATCTCATTAGAATGTTTCACAGCAACAGAAGCCAATTCAGCTCTAGAACCACTCAGAATTCACATTGTAATGCAGGCAGGGCCATGAGGAAATCTTAGGGGAATTCACAACTGATGCAAGTGTGGTTCAGTCCCACAGCTCACAGAGTTTGGCAAAAACAATTCAGAGGGCTGTACAGTTCAGCCCGTTCACATGACAGGCTGCGAATGGCTCGTGCGAGTGGAGCAACACGGGCACATTGCACTTAACAGTGCGTTTTGTAAAAAAATCTCTGCTCACTTCTGGGCAGGGGAACCCCCAGGATGAACTGCAGACCTCCCTTTATTGCTTTTGAGATTATTCCTTTGAAAGAGAGTTTAAAGATAAATCGGTTAGCGTGTGTTATAGCTCTTGAGTGTGAAAAACTGGAATGCAGAGCTCGCACATATTAATAAGGTGATCCATCCACTTTCAGGTTCGTCTAATTTAACTGTCATTTAACCACGAATAACACAGTGAGACCAAGACTTCTTTTACAAGGGGGTGCTGGCAAGACACATGAGCAGATGGACAGTTTCACAATATTAAAAACAATATGGCAATTGAACAAAATCACACATTCAGTTAAATACCCCACATATTCAAACAGAATTAAAACACATTTACATTTTAATAATCCCAAATATCTTCATTTTGGTTCTATTACTTGCACAAGTCTGAAGAATTGTTGGGGACAAATCCAAAAGCATATCAGTCCAGTCTAGGACTGCTGCAGGGTAGCAATGAAGCTGTCACTATGGCGTTATGTATATATTATTGATTGCTTTAAAAGATGGGTTTCCCAAAAGCATGGTAATCCAGCATTCCAGTCTGGATTAGGCACCTGAAAAGAGTACAGAAATTGGTTCTTCGCTCACACAGGTGATAAACAGAAAATTGTGTCACAGTGTACCTCATCAAGTGACTGCGCCTACACAGATGTCTGAGGTTCCCAGCTATGAAACTAGCCAGTCTTGGGGCAATTCTAGTATGGGGACCAGCAAGCTACAGTGGTGCCTAACAATTACACGAGTTTGCCACACAGTGAGTGTTGTTTCCTGTTTGAAAATCATTTAAATGTATCCCGATGGCAGTGTCATTTGAAACTTGGTGTTTCAGACCCTTCTGAAATACATGGAGTGGTGAAATCTGCAAAGAAATGATTTCTTTTTTTCTGTGTGTCTTTCTTCTCTAGTTTTGCCTCCTGCATGGCACCAGACTAGTGTACCAGGAGAGAGCCTGGTACATGGAGCACAACTACCTGACGCCAAGTACAAGCCGGCAGATAAGAAATCAGGTGAGGCACACTTTTTCTGTCTCTGCAGGCAGTCAAAAAGGCCTAAGGTCTGCTTGTCTGTGGTCTTCTTGCTGTACCATGTTCTGCTCAGTAGAGCTGGCTAACATACTGCATACTGTACTTTGCAAAAGTTTTCAGACACTTGCACTGTCTGCACGTTTTGTTGCTTTTGAGCTTGTAGCCATAAAACCTTGAAGTACAGTAGCAAATCATTTTCTATATACACAACCTCTTGTTCAAAAAAAGAAAGAAGCAAATAGTTGATTAATATGAAATGAAAAAGTTAAAGTCACAAATGCATAAGTATTCAAATGCTTCCCTTTTAAATTAATTTAGGTGCACTGTATTACGTTCATGAGCCAGACAGCTTAAATGTCTTTTTTCTCCTTTCTTTTTACTTTTCAGCATGGAATTAACCTCTGTATGTTTCTAAACTGTGAAGATTTATACAGAATACTAAGTATTAATTTTGTTTGAGGATCTGGGAAATTGCACCGACTCTCTGTCTATGACTTACTAATATGTTAATTGTAGGGTTCTGTTCCCCTGTTTCCCTTTAGTCTTGTGGGTTTGGATTCCTTCTGAGGGGGACACCTGCTTTTCAGGCAGTGGTCAGGTTTCTGGACTTAGATACAAGGCGAGACAGTGCTGTTATACCCTTGAGCAAAGTTCTTCACTCGGGCTGCTCCAGTAACACACCCAGCTGTATAAACAATTGCAAATGTAGGTCATTTTAGAATAAACCCAGCAAAGTTAAAAGAATTAGAAATTAGAAATACTAACTGGTCAGTCTTTCACTCATTGGATTGGACAGTATTTCTTTCCAAGGACATGTCATCTCTTTCCCTCGGAATGGGTGATCGTCAATGAGATGCCCTAAGCATTTCAAAGTCTGCACCAAAATGCCCACAAATGTTTCTGGCT